TGGGCGTTCAAGGTCCCCTTGTGCACGGTGGAAACGATAGGAAAGCCTGTTTATGGGTCACGATGGAGACTAATGCATTTTTCCTTGTAACTTCCAAGTATTGGGGCCCATGTCTGGCACATATTTTACATACATGCTGGATGCGTCAGATGGATGCTGAGTGCTTCAGAGTGGGGCCCTACCTCACATGTGCCACGTTTTACTTCCCCAGTGTGTCCAGTATAGCCTTGGAGCAGGGCTTAGCAGCGTGCTGGGAAGAAGCTGAGGGTCTACAAAGCAGCGAGTATAATACGCCACCTTGGGTCCCAGATTTACGGCCGAAAGGAAGTAGGGAGGCAGTGAGCATGTGCGTTTGTCACACAGCTGGACAAACCTGTCTGTGTGCTCTGAGGCTGTCACTTAATGGACCAGGAGAGCCTTTTAAGCCAGGATGCACCTCCCTAGCACAATCTAGACACACACTTCACAAATGCCGGAGCTTCCAAGACCCTGGAAGGTTCCGTCTCCCAATTTCTGACACCCTTCCCTTCTCTAAACATGGAAGAACCCCAGCCTGGTATCTGGAGCTCCCCGGGTCCCAGGCAGTGACTTGACTCCTTAGCAAGATGCAATAGCTTCCGGCCACACACCCCGGAGAGGTGGGAAACCTTCTGCGGGCAGTGACACCATCCACACTCCCCAAACTAACATCTCACCTGGGTTCCTGTCAAGAGCCTCTTCTGAAGGCAACGTCTCAAACCGAGTCCCAGAACCTGTTGAAACACATTCGTGCAAATACAACAAACCAGAATCTCAAAAGGGTGTAGCTGACACACAGGTGAGTCAAACCGTGTCCAGGCAGTTCTCAACTAGCCCACAGGAGGCAAGTCCTCAGCCACGCAGCAGGGAGGCCTGGCCCAGGTTCCATCCCACCTGCTGGCTCATGCCAGATGGAAGGGTGGGTCCCTGCAGGGCCATGGCAGCCAACAAGCCCAGCCAGAGATAAGATCTTGGGGATCAGAGGAGACATGCTGACAGAAAACACCGTGTGCCCAGCTGTCCACAGCAGAACTTTGCCAGCCAGCATGTGATCATCCGGGCCATCAAGGCGCTACTCAAACACAGGCCCTCCCAGGGGGCCCAGGTTAATGTCTCTATATTAGGGAAAGGACACCAAGTCCACTCGGAGCCTGGAAGATCAGTCTCACGTGCTCTGGTGGGATACAGGATAAGACCAGGCAGCGAAAATGAGATGGACAAAGAACATACTAGCATATGTGGGTTTCCAGTTCATTGATAACCTCAAGAATAATGCAAATTAAAACAATAGGGCACTACCTCCCTTACATAATCAGGACGGAATGAGAGAGTGCCAGAGCTTGAAGGGGGAGGGATAAAGAATGTGGGGGTGGGGCGGGGGTGGAGGATGAATCGATATCAAACAGTACATGTGTGCGTGCGTGTGTGCGTGCGTGTGTGTGCATGCGAGTGTGTGCGTGTGTGTGCGTGTTCGCGTGCGTGTGTGTGTGTGCGTGTGTGTGTGGGGGGGGCAACTGAAGAGATTTCTCAGAACATGTAGACACTCAAACAAGATATTGGTTAAATTAATTGTGGTTTAGATATGAGATGTAATAACTATGTAGTAATTTTTTAAAAAAGTTTTCTAGAAATAATTAACGAGGAGACATAACGCATTGCCAGGCTGAAAGTAGACTGCATAATATGTGTTTGTGGGCTTAACTCTAGAAACCACAATGGGACGGATGCACACGTGCACTGTGCCATTAGAAGGCCACGTGGCAACATTTAAGAGAAGGTCATCTGCGGACGGAATTACCAACGGTATCTATGGGTCTCCCAGCTTCAGCTTTCTTTAGGGAGTCAGGAACAAGACGGAAGCCCTCAGTCCCAACCAGAATTCAGAGCAGGCGTCGGGACCGATGCCCTAGAAGGGGTCAGCGTGAGCCTGGTTTGGGGTGGGAACCTTCAGAATGGCTTTGCGGGGGGGGGGGCAGTCTAGGACAGGATCTCAGGTGGGGAAACCCACAGACTGACACCACGGGGGAGGGCCTGTTGCTCCTTTCCGATGGAAATGCTGGAGATGGTGACACTATGGAGGCAGCAAAGGCTTTACCGAGGACGCAATGGACGAAGATTGTATCCTCTGCCCCCCACCCCACCCCGACAGCAGGGGCGGGCGTTCTTGCTAGCCCTCACAGCAGCCCAGGCCTCTGCCCTCCTTCCTTTCCTGCCCATCTCCAGTCTCTCCCTTCTGGATGCAGGTCTCATGAGAGGGTAGGCAAAAGTCTAAGTGCATGGAGGGGCAGGCAAGGGAGCAGGAAGTCAGAAGTGCACACGGCTGGGAGAGGAAGAGATGAGCAGCCAGAGTCAAGATGTTAGGGAAGTGTAAGGGGGCATAAAACGGGGGAACAGCCACCAGGCCAACGACCTGTGCCCTCTGCATACACACCCGGCATGCCTTGGGAGTAACCGGCCAGCTGTGGCAGATGATGGAGGGTCACCGTTTTGGGAGGGTGTGTGGCAATGTCCAGGTCAGGCATCTTACAATGGGACAAGGCCTTGATGTGTGGTGCTGGATGCTCATGACTGTGGGCCTGCTGCAGCTTCCAAGTTTCCAGCACGTTCCTCACACTCACTGCTGCCCTGCACCCTGGGAGGCGAGCCCCTCGCTCGGATGAAATGGCTGAGGCAGGGAAACTAAATGATTTGCCGCAAACCAAACCCCCAAAGGTAGAGAGGTGGCAAAGATTGTGTCGTGCACTTAGCTCCCTGGCTGCCCTGGTCCTGTGGTTGCTCCTTCAGGTAGGATGAAGCCCTTGCTGGCGTGAAGCTCTGCCTCCAGCACTGTGAGAAAAGTCCTACCCTGCAGGGACAACTCCACAGAAACACACCAACTACAAAGCAGGGGGAGTGAGGGAGGGCACGGAAGGAAGGGCCTTACGGGACATTCTGGACAAGCAACGAGGATGCCGAGTTGTGGGGCCGGCGGGGGAGGTCCCAGCGTTGTCTACATCAGAGTGGGTCCCCCAAAGTCTCCCAAGCTCAAACAAACTTCAGCTTTGCCGTTTACTCTACTCGAGGCAGCATCTGGACTGGAAGCCATGGGGGCATGGAGTGGCACTTGCCAGCTGAGCAGAGCTAACGCTCCAGGAAATTAAGGCAGGTGGCCTCTCCTCCCCTAACAGCCTGCATGGACCACAGCCCAGAACTGCAGGATAAGGCCTGGGGAGGGCATTTCCTCCAGACCTGTCTCATGGCCTCATTTTGAGTTGGATAATGCGCTGTGCCTCACACAGCTGCCCAGCACCAGGACAGAGCTTTTAGTGCATCCGAATCAGTCCGCACTCAGTGCTCAGGAAGAACCCTGGGATGGGTGACTCCGAACCTTCGCTGTGTTGGCGGTCGCGCAAGCGTGCATATCTGGACGCACACACAAGTGACCACACAAAACCCTGAACAGGAGGTCAGCATCGTATCAGGCTGGGCAAAGTGACCTCAGATTTCGGTATTCTCTCTGGCATCCGCTTGTGAATGTGTAACCGTCTCAGAAAAGTTTACGGGATTGAAGTGGCTGCCATATTGCAGTGCTGAAAAAACGGGCAGTCTTAACGACCTCTCGCTGAACGAGGGCCCTAACTTCACAGCTCTGTGAACTTGGGAGTTTGGAAGCGCTCCTGGGCAACAGAAGGGGGGGGGGCAAGGGTCGTGGAATTAGCATTTGGAAACAGGATAGGGTCTCATTATAAGAAAGAAGAGTCTCCCTACAATTCATCACAGTGGGTCTGCGGCGATGCCGTCCTGTTATTGCTGAGGGACTGCCCCTTCCCGGGGTCTCTACAGACACCCTGAAAACCTTACACCAAAGGGTTCCTGGGGGGGGGTCAGTCCATCGTGGCACCACCTCCCTGGAGACCAGGTGAATGGATTACAGGCCTCAGGCCTGTAAGAAGCAGTAAGAACTCACCCTTGGTGACCTGGACCATTCCAGCAGCTCTGCCTCCTTCACACAGAACACAACTCCTAGTCAGTGAACGGCTCCAGGGACTTCTCCCACCCCACCGGAGCAATAGCAGCCCCTTCTCCATCCCTCCATCCCGCGGGGTCCACACTGTGGACCCTTCCAGACTGAAGCGTTTACAGCGAAGGAGCCGCCCCCGCAGAGGGCGGCTGATCCTATCAGCCAATTATCCAGACACAAGGCGACCCGCAAGTTCGGGCACGCTCTGCCTAGGCACAAGCAGCGGGAGGGGCCCGGGCGCGCCCAGGGGGTCTGAGTCTGCGCTGGGGTCGCGCCCCGTAGCGGACTGCAGTCTGGTCTGGGGGCTCACCTAGATGGGAATTTCTGAGTTCTGGCACCCTAGGGACCTGGGGGGAATCTAAACTCGGGGAGCGTCTGGGAAAGATGTCTGGGTTGGAAGGGTGCTCAGGGCTGGGTCGAGGAAGACTGGACCTGGGCCAGGTGTATGATCAGGGTCTGGGCCTGGGACTCTGGATCTGGTACCCAGCGACAAACTGGGGGCTGGGCCAGGGCCCTGATTTGGGAGCCGACCGCCAGTCTGCTCCTCACAGCCAAACAGGCGGTGCAGCCAGCCCCCCCCCCCGGTTCTGGTCCCCAAAGACCCCTCCACGACCCGAAACCCAGCAGCCCCAGCTCCTAGATCGCCCCGGAAACACAGCCCTCCCCTCCAACGTGTGGCGCGCCCGGGTCGTCTCTAGTTCGTGGAACAAAAGAGCAGCTCTGGTGGAGCGGGTTCAGAGCCTGCACTGACTGTCCCATGGCCCTGGGCCGCCGGGCTTTGTGTTCGCACAGGGAGCAGGGAGGACCGCCGGGGGCCGGGAGCACATCCCACGGACCCCTGCGCAGAGGCACGCAGCGCCCCAGCTCCAAAGTTGCCGACGCCGCTCGCCTCCCACCGCGCTCCGGATTCCCTCCGCGGGGTGCCCCATTCATTTGCCGGGGGAGCGAGTGCGCACGGCCACGGTGGGCCTCGGGTACTTACCTTGCTCTTGACTTCCACCGCGCTGCAATCGTAGAAGCGTAGGGTCTGAGACTTGTGAAAACTCCGGTTCATGGTTTCGGCCCCGCTCAGCCTCGCCTTCGCCCTCGCCCTCAGGGGCCACAGAGAAGAGTCTCGGCGGAGACGCCCCCGGCCGTCTGCCCGGGCCCGGCGCCGGGCCCGCGCTCGCTAGGGCGCCCGGCTGCACCGAGTGAGGCGGGCCGGAGCTGGGCTGGCCGCGCGCCTCGGGGACTCCAGGGGCCGCGCGCGGGAGGAGCTACGGGGCACCTCCCTAGCCCCGCCCCTGCGCCCCGCCCACAGAGCCCCGCCCTGCGCCCCGCCTCCAATCAGGACCCTCCCACGCCACGCCCCCACTTGGTACCCTTCCAAAGGAAGCTCCAGGCCATTCTCTGGGCTCGTGGTTTTGTCTTCCCCACAGCGGTCCGCCAGGGAGAGGGGATTCTGGTTGATTCTTTAGAACTAGCAAGCTAATGAGACGCACCCCAAGCCTGATCCGATCGCCCCTTAGTTGCCTGCCTTAGTTGCCAGGTTGGGGGTGGTCCCACCCTTGACAGTCCAGCACAGGCAGGGAGGGAAGCGACAGGATAGTAAACGGGTCCCAGATTGTGATGAAGCAGTTAATGTTAAATCTAACACGTAGTGTTGACGGCAAGAGCTAAAACTGGTTTTGAGAGGCAGCGACGGCTTCTCTGTGTAGCAAACAGGATAGGTTCAGAAAGGGACGGAACTGATTATCAGTTACACCGCAGAAGATTTGTTTATAACAGAGAGAGCGCTTAGGAAGAGGGGAGAAGAAGCCCAAGATGCATCCTGCCTGCTAACGTGTTTGTAAAGAAGTCAGGGGAGACACGGACTTTGAAAACTACCTAAAAAAATGTCTTATGCATTTTTTTTTGTAATTTGCAAGTTAAAGAATTAAAACCATCATAAAGTCACAGCACAGAAATGGAAAATAAAAGTAAGTGAGATTATCCACAGCGCTGCTACTCAGCAGTCAACTCTAGTAACCTTTGAGTATATTTTGTTTCTGTTTACTTGCATTGTTTTGCAACATGTTCTTGTCAATACCTGAATTGCAATGGACGTTGTCATCAGATGTTTTTAGAGAATGTTCTGAAAACTACTAGTGTGACTAAAGGCATGACTCCCAATGGTTCTATTTTATTGGCTATGTTTGCACTTTATGCATACTAATATTGTAAGTGCTGAATTTCAGGTTTCACTTATTTCTGAGACTTTAAAAAAATATTGACTCCTAAAATGCAATTATTACATCATAGAATACATGTATCTCCAAAGCTTTTCCTACAGTTTGCCAAATTGTATTCCTCAAAATGTGATTTATTTTTTTATTTAATTTTGCTGTGTATTTACTGTCACAGGCCTACGGTCACAGTGGTTTAGAGTTAGAATTCTTCCCTTAGAACAAACTGCAGATCGTTCAGAGGGGCAGACACATAGAACCCCACACAGGCACATCTGAGGCAAGCCTGCAAAACGTCAGGAGATGCACACTGGAACACAGCAGGGACAAAGTGCTGGCCCCTCTTCCCACCCTCTGAGAGCTCTTTCTTTCTCCTTCTCTCTTTCCTCTTTATCTCCTCCCAGGCCTTCACACAACCTCAGCCAGCCTCAAACTTGCTGAAGATGACCTTAACTTTCCCATCCTCCTGCCTCCACAGTGCTGGGATTATAGGTGTGTGTACTTCCAGCTTCCTGCAGGGCTGGATATGGAACCCAGGACTTCGTGATGGCTTTATTTGAAGGGAAGGTGCCTAACAGTACAGGCCTTTGGGCTTGTGCAAAGCCTCAGTTCTGCTGCGTACTGTCTCCTCCAAGGGACTGTCCTGTGGGCTCAGGAGCACACCTAGGGTTGACTGTCCTGCCCTGATAGCTAATCATGGTGGACCACTTGACTCCACATGGAATCAACTAAAACACAAGCCTCTGGGCATTACTGTGAGGGATATTATCAATGCTGAACTCATTCTTAAACCCTAAACCCATTTATTTCTGAGGCTCATAATATTGACTCTTAGCCCAGTAGTGGTGATGGTGGTGGTGGTGGTGGCCACAGTGCACGCCTTTATTCCCAGCACTGGGGAGGCAGAGGCAGGGGGATCTCTGTGAGTTTGAGGCCAGCTTGGTCTACAAAGTGAGTTCAGAATAGCCAGGACTGTTACACAGAGAAATCCTGTCTTGAAAACAAACAAACAAGCAAAAGGAAACAAACAAACAAATACATATATGTTGACTCTTGACCAGATTATCTGGAGCAGAAAGACCCACCTTAAGTGTGGACAGCAGCTTCTGGCAGAAGCTCGGATAAAAGGACAATGGGAAAAAAAAACCCTGCCTTTTGCCTACTTGCCCTTACTCTCCATGGTGTGTTCATCTACCCTGTTGCTGCAGCATACTTTGCCAATATACGAGCCATTATTATTATTATTATTATTATTATTATTATTATTATTATTTGGCTGGTAACATAGACTGAAGACTAGCAGCTCCCTAGGAATCCATAGGCCTGCAAAAGAAAACAGGGAAAAACAGGGATAGACAGGCCTAATCGTCCTCAAGCCATGGCTTCAAAGAATCATCAAAACTGGTAACCCTGAGTGTGACGACTCATGCCTTATAGTCCCAGTTACTCAGGGCCAAACTAGGAGGATTGGAAGTTCAAGCAATATAGTGAGACTGTCTCAAAACAGCCACCAACTTACCCACCCCTGGTAAGCAAATGTAGACCCTGAATATAGCCTCCTGGTCGGTGGTTCTCAACCTGTAGGTCATGGTCCTTATGGGGGAGTTGAACTACCCTTTCACAGGGTTGCCTGAGGCCTCCAGAAAGTACAGATACTTACATTATGGTTCATAACAGTAGCAAAATTACAGTTATGAAGTAGCACTGAGGATAATTTTACGGTTGGGGGCCATCACACTACGAGGAACCGTATTAAAGGGTCACAGCACTAGGAAGGTTGGGAATCACTGCTTCGGGTTGTCAGTCCTTGAAAGGGAAAAACACAGAGCTTCAAAACCTCAGATTGCTAGATAGGTGGCAGCTTAGAACATTTTATCAGAAAGAAAGGAGATTGGCAACCTTGATTGCCTTTTCAGCTCGTAGAATAACAAAACACCCCCCAAAGGAACTGTTTTGAGGATCACAGATAATAGAGAAAAGCAGTACTGAGAATTAATAGATTATCCAGGCGGTGCAGCTCATGCTGTCATCTACACCGAAGGTGTCGGAACCAGCCAGAGCAGTCTGGATAGGAGATAAGTAAACCCCTGCACACCATGGGGCAGCCCACCAGAGTCCTCAGGAGTGGAGATGCCTGGGTATGCTCAGCGGTTCTTAAGTAAACTACCTAGCCCCGCCTTCCTGTCTCCTCCTCTGCCCTTCCCCATGGGACACTTGTGGATGCCTAGCACCCACCTCTGAGTGCAGAGGCTAGTGACACTAAGGGGGACAGCTCTTATAAAAAGGGATCCAACCTAACGCAAACGTCAGCCACACCAAGGGCTGTTGTTTCCTACCTTCAACTCCCTGCCAACCATTCTTCATCTTTACCATGGGTCCCTGTGGGAACCCTAGTTTGCAGAACTCTGCACATTTGAAGTGTGGAGACCTGAGCTGCCCTTGTTTCTGGTCTCTGGGTCTGGTGATAAAGTTAGCCTGCTGTGAAACCAATAAAAATAAATATCAGGCTCGACTTTGCCACTGGGCTCCTCGGTACTTCAAAGAGAAGCAAATGATGCAAGTCACATCTGGGTACAAAAGATGAAACACTGGAGATCTCATTATGGAACCTTACCTTTCAAAAGGGTACTTTGGTGTAAACGTTCTTAAGAAAGTGTGTGGACAATAAAATAAAATTATAAATGCAAACCATCCGCTGTGTGGGTCAAGTCCCATTTCCTTAGGGCAAAGGGCCTGGAGTGCAGACTCCTGTATGTAGTGCATACATATGGAGTGCATCAGTGTATGTAGGAGGAAGCCTGAAGGTCACAGTTCAGAGGGTACTGCACACCCTGGGTGCTGTGTGGATGAGGGGTGGGGTAGGTATGGCACCTGGGTGAATGCCAAGTATGCCCTGCCCACACTTGTGCTGGAGCCCGTTTCAGGGTTAGTAGAGGGAGAATGTCGTCGGATGGCACTGCCTGGACCAGTGGGTGCCGCGGAGCCTCCCGCTGTATCTCATCATCCGGTCACTGTCCCTCGCTGGCTGTTCTCTGAGCTCATCTCCTGCCCGGACTGTTTCCTGTCCCCCACCCTAGTCTTGATTGTCTACTCTCTCTTACTCTGTCTGGTGTACTGCTGCTCATTTTCATTTTTACTTCGTCTTCAAAGAGGTCATCCCATACTTCTTTCTTTCCAAACAAGAAAGAAGAAAAGAAAAGGAAGAGAGAGAGAGAGAGCACCAGGGACAGCACTCTGGGGACCTGCCCGCCTCCCCAACCCCCGTTGCCTGAGCTCTAAATCCAGTGTTTTCCTGGCATCTCTGATGGTCCCATTGCAACACTTGTCACACTGTATTCATTTCCTGTGTCTGCTGTACTTCACTAGAGTGATGTCCTCATGCAGGGCGTCCCCATAGGTTCTGGGTCCTGTTAAGCAGCAGGCTCAGGGCCCTCTGGTACCATGAATGGTCCTCAGTGAAGTACAGGAGACAAAGGGTATCCAGGACTCCGGGCTCCTTTGTGATGGAGGGTGTTCTGATGTTACCACCTAACAGGTAATGTGTTCTGGTACCAGAGTAGTAAGTGTCTGGTTTCCAGTGACGATCCCTTGTTTCCTTCTTAGCTGTGACAGGTTCTAATGGAGACTGTGGTATGTTAAAGGCCAGAGGGGAGATGCAAAAGGAACACTTCAGAACACAGACCTACAGGCCATAACTTTTAAGACCCTCTCCAGAAAGAGGTCGCAGGGATTGGAGAGATGGCTCAGTGGTTAAGAGCACTGACTGCTCTTCCAGAGGACCCAGGTTCAATTCCCAGCATGCACATGGCAGCCCACAACTGTCTGTAAGTCCAGTCCCAGGGGACCCAACATCTATGGTGGAACACCAATACACATAAAAATAAATAATGAATAGGCGGCAGAGGTAAGCAGTGAGGGCTGCCACTCGGGAGTAGACCCCTGTCCAACTGCTGCTGCAGGCTGGGGTGAGGACCAGAGGGCCTTCTGAAGTGTTTGTGTAGGTTGAT